TTTTGTTCCTGTTTTCTCTTATGAATGTTGATACTTCATCTTCATCGGCGAAATTAGTGGTCTCGAGCTCGTTGTCCTTCTGTACTTCGACTGTCGTATCCTGCGGGTTTTCAAAAACTTTTAAAAGAACATCGTCATCTATTTCAAAATTGATGTCTAGGAAATCTAGGTCAATGTTCGTGTCATAGTGAAGATTTAGGTCAAAATTTGGGTCACTTTCACCTCGAAACATGATGAAAAAAGTTGCGAGCGTATTATGCTAGTCCTGTCCCGGTTAAACCGGTTAAACCGGGACAGCACTAGCATAATACGGTGCCATATTTTGCGAGTTCTCTTGACCTTATAAGGTAAAATTACGTAATAGTCGTATAATAAAGATTATTATGATAAAGAAAAAATCTCGTCCTCGCTTCGATTCATTTAGGAATATCAATATAAAAAGGAATAAAAAGTAGTTAATTTTTTATCATTGGGTAACCTTATATTGATATACTAAGGATAAGTATTTCCCATTGCAGATTACCCAAGTATCCCAACAGTACCAACAGTCCATGATATCAAGTCAACCTCAGTAACAGTAAGATGGATCCAACCTGCACTGAACGCATCCCAGGCTAGTGTGACATCATACGTGTTACAATACCAGAACATTACACATACACAGACAATAAGTGTCTCATCTCCTGCAACTAGTCACGTGATAACTGGTCTTGCTATCTATGCTAACTACAGTGTTCAGATAAAAGCGATCAGCGGAATTGGTCCTGGACAATGGAGTGCGACCAAAAACTTTAGAACACTCTCTGATAGTAAGTTGAAATACTTCTGGAATGTCATTTGAATTAACGGATTTTTACATATTTCGTTACTTGTTAGCTACCGTTGCTAGATAGTTTTCGTTTACAGTTCCGTTTATTTCGTTGACCCTGTATTTTTCTGCTACGATATCCTTATGGTTTAGTGATATAAATGACCACTTAAGCAGTCTCCTGTGGTTAATATTTTCTTGAAAGATAGCTTCTTTACGTTGTCGTAATAAAAAGTGTGGTACTTTCTAGTTATTCTTTGTGTTGATGGATTTTTACAAGTATCCGTTTTGTACTCAGTCACCCTCGATTTTACATCACCTCTCGGTCTCTTCGTAGTTATAAGCACTGAGTGGCTTAACGAATGATGGCAGACAAGTAAGATTGTTGTATGTCTGAGTAGAATGATCATGCAGTTTGGGGCAAAAAAATTTTTAAACTAGCTGGGTGCTGAGAGAACACAAGGGAAGCGTAGGAAACCATGACGTGATTCTTTCTTGTGATAATAAGTGCACATAACGCAAAAGGCGTAACGTAAGCACGATGCTGATCATTTAAGATATTCTTATCTAAATATGTTACTTAGCACTTCATTTGTGTTATAGTACCTGATCATTGTTGTCATATTTTTTTCTCCTTCCTTTAGTACCTGTGGGTTTTCCAAATTCTGTGAAAGCTGTGGCTCAAACATCCCAAAGTATACGCGTTGCTTGGCAGGTAAGTTAAAGCTCTATCTGTGTACAATAACCCAATATATACGTGTTATACTTGGCAGGTAAGTTAATATTATAATATTAACTATGGTTCCAGCTAATGCCTTAACACCCCAAAGTATACGCGTGTTACTTGGCAGGTAAGCTAATGTTATGTCTTGGTTAAGGTTTTTGTGAAAGTTAAGGTTAATCAGAAATGACTTACATCCAATTTCCCTTTGTATTTAGCGCCTGCCCTTATTATATTCCTTGAATGTAACGTGATACAAAGAATAACCTTAGATTTATTGAACTCGGAAACAACCTCTGGACTGAGCTAAATAATCGAACGGCTAACTCACAGATTGAATCCTGTAAGCAACCTTTGCACGTGTCTGAATCAGGGCACGCCTAACTCACAGGATCGAATTGGAATTTAGCGCGTTGGGTTTATTTGAAGACAGTGCGGAAGATAAAAATCTCTGGTCGGGCACCCAAAAAAAAAACGCCTTAGTTTCCATACTGGTCTCCTTAGTACCAAGAAGGGTGATACATATTATTGGGTGGCAAGCATTTTATGGG